TATTAAAGTACAAAATTTTAAATTGCATTATTTAACTCGCAAGTTTGACTAACTTTTTAGTAAAAATTCAAAAAAAAAGTACCCGTCGAATAACATCGCTGATAATAATAATAATAAAATTGATTGAAGAGAGAGAGAGAAAAAGAGAGAGAGAGAGAAAGACAGAGAGAGAGAGACAGAGAGAGACAGACAGAGAGAGAGACAGAGAGAGAGAGAGAGAGAGAGAGAGACAGAGAGAGAGACAGAGAGAGAGAGAGAGAGAGAGAGAGAGACAGAGAGAGAGAGAGAGAGAGAGAGAGAGAGACAGAGAGAGAGAGAAACAGAGAGAGAGACAGAGAGAGAGAAAGAGAGAAAGAGAGAACGCAATATTCAAGAAAACGGAAAAAAGGTTGAAACACGAGAATTTTTTATAAATTGTCATAGGGAAATTTCGGGAAAATAATAAAATTTTGTAAGGTGATTATTGGGAGACCCTGCGACAAAAAATTGGTTAAAAAAAATTTTAATTTAAGGCCCACACCTCCCCCCTTCTTATTTATGAAACATAAAATAAGAAATTGCACAAGGGACTCTCGTTTTTTGAGAAATCGAATAGAAACTTTAAAAAATCGTACGTTCTTTACAAAGGGCTTCTTGTTCACGCACGCAAAAGTGAAAATGATAATAATAATAATAATAAAGAGTCGTTCATCATGAACCTGGAGGCCAACATTAAAAATTACACTGTAAACCACCTTGAACGTTTAATTTTTTGTTAAAGATGATCATAAAACTAATCATCTGTTGTTGTAATAATACCCCCCCCACAAATTTATTTATTTATTTTTTCTCTAGTAATAATAATAATTAAATAACTAAACGCGTTAAAATATTTTATTCGATTTTAACCGACTGACGCCGATTGCAATGCATTATGACGTAAACTATAGCCAATGAAAAATCTAAACTATCTTTATTTGCTCCTACATGACCCCCCCCCCTACGATCTATCGTAGAAATAAAAATTAAGAAAAAAAAAATCGATAATAAAATCAATAACATCCAAACGATGACGACGACGATGATGATAATGATAATACGAAATAAGAAATACTCAAGTCGGCCTACTTGACGAAAAAATAAACAAGATGATTAGTAAAAAAAAAATTTTAGTATAATTTAATTTAGTTTAGTTTTTAATTAACTGATTTTCGAGAAAGACAAGACAGGGGATCAAACTAGACCAAACCGTTCCAGAGTGGATGTCGGTCGGTTTGTAAAATCAAACATTTAATAATTTTTTACTTTTTCCACAAGATTCAAACTAACAAACGCACACACACACACACACGCACATTTACGCACACGCACACGCACAAAAGGGGGAAAAAAATATAAATGGAGAAAATTAAAACTTTTACCCTTGAGGGAGAGGAAAAACGAAAAAAAAAAAAAAATGGAAACATGACTCGAATGCGAGAAATAAAATAACATTATAAACAGAAGAACAAAAAAAAAAAAAAAATGGAAACGATATTTAAAAAATAATAATAATAATTAAAAAAAGGAAGAATTTAAACAACAACAACAACCGCGTTTAACAAACAAACGTCAACAATTCTGACTACAACATACTACAAACGGTGGTAAAAAAGGAAAATACAAAATGTGGAACAATGAACTTTTTTACAAATTTTTGAACGTTTTAAATAAATAAATAAAAAACACCGATACTTTGTTTGTTTTTGTTTGTTTGTTTGTAAAAACCACATTACCTTTTTGGGAAAATTTTTTTTCTATTTCCCTCCTACGAATTTGGTTTTCGTTTTTAAAAAAAAAAAAAACATAAAAATAAAAAACATGAGTTTATTATTATTATTATTATGAAAGAATCCTACGCTTTTAAACGGAAAATCCCGATTTGGCTACGAATTAGGGCGAAGTCGTGTAATTAAATTTTTTTTTTTGCAATTTCAACGGCTAATAAAAATGAAAACAATTAAATGATAAAACATGCGTACGGATACAAAGAGAATAAAAAAAAAAAAAAAAAATTTCTAAAGAAAAATAAATAAATAATCAAACACACAACAACAAACAAACAAACAAATCGCAAAAATACAAAGTCTAAGGTTTTATTGATTTGCAAACCGAATCAAATAATACTTAAAGTAAATCCGCAATAAAAAAAAAAAGAAAAATATTAATTACAGTTATCGAGCCTATTCAGTTACTTAAAAAAAAACTCGTACTTGGTGTTCGAATGTTGCATATCGAATTGTCTTGTTTTATTACAAACATTATAAAAAAAAAAAGCGTCTGTGTGTTGTATGTGCGTGCGTGCGTGCGTGCGTGTGTTCATTTACGCGTAATAACCCTCGATAAAATTTCGTTCAATCGAATCAATCAATCAATAATTTATGAAAAATTTTTTACAAAAAAAAAATTTTTAAGAGTTTTCCTGTGGTAATTTTTTCCTCCCGCCTTCTCCAGCCCTCGCCCTCGCAGCCTACACGTTTTCCCACCGTTAAAAATTTTCTTTTCCTTTTTCTCTCTTTTTTATTATTATTATCACAATCATTATTAATATTTCAAAAAACGTAAAGTTAGCAAATTGTTATGAAAACTTTAAATAAAGTTTACCTAAAAAAAAATTTTTTTTTTTTTTTTTAAAAAAACTCAAACTTTTTTCCCACAGATAATATTGATTTTTCTTTGTTTAACGAGCTGCTTTTTCTATAAATATCCTAAAGAGAGGAAAAGAGAGAGAGGAAACATTTTCGTTTGACTTCCTCTCGTCTCTCTCTCTCTCTCTTTTTTTTTTTAATATTTTATTTTTTATTTAATTTTTTTTAATTAACGGTTGACAAAATTAAAAAATTTTAATCAAGAAACAAAAATTTCGTTTCGTTTCGTTTCGTTTAATTTTTCGTTTTTTTTTTTAATTTTCTTATTTAATTGTTTTTTTTTCTTTTTCGTAACAAAAATTCACTTACAAACACAAACACACACACAATATGTTTCGACATTTTTTTTTTTCCTAACAATTATTTATAGTAATAATAATAATAAAATAGAAGAAAAAATGAGTGGAAGGATAAAGTAGAGGAAGTCAACGCACACATTTAGGATTTTGAAAAAAGAAAAATTTAATTTTGCAAAACAGATGGAGGAGAAAAAACGGTTTTGTCGTCGTCAATGATGACGATGATGATGATGATGATGATGATGATTATGACGATAATAAAACCGACTCACCTATTTTTCCGACAATTAAACCCCGTAATCGATCTGAAACAAAGCAAAATAAAAATAAGAAAAAAAATTATTATTTTATCGTACTAGAGGCTACTAAAAAAAATAATAATAATACTAATAAAAAAATTATGTTTAATCGATCGTACGATCCATCGATCGATTGATCGATCGATCGATGAAGTACGACGACCATTAAAACAGGTGGAAAATAACAAGAAACAGTTTAAAAAAAAAAAAAAAAAAAAAAACGTCGTCAT